ATGAATTTTAGGAATGTTTTCTCTACTTCTGTGAGGTATACTAATGGTATTTTGATTGGGATTGCATTAAATTTGTATAACAATTTTGGATTTATGGCCATTTTTACTATGTTTGTTCTTTCTACTGAAAATCAAGGGATATCTTTCCATTTTCTGATATCCTCTTCAATCTCCTTCTGCAGAATACTGTAATTATCAATGTAAAGGTCTTTTACTTCTTTTGTTAGATTGATTCCTAAGTATTTCTTTCTTTTGGATATTATTGTTAAGGGTGTTGTTCCCCCTAATTTGTCTCTCAGTTTGCTATTTGTGTACAGGGATGTTACTGATTTTTGAGTGTTGACTTTGTATCCAGCTATGATACTGAATTTGGTTATTAAATCTAGGAGTCTTTTGGTAGAGTTTTTGAGGTTTTCTATATAGAGTATCATGTCATCCACAAATAATGATAATTTAACTTCTTCCTTTCCTATCTTTATCCATTTTATTTCTTTCTCTTGTCCAATTGCTTTGGATAATGTTTCTAGAACTATAGTGAATAGTAGTGGTGATAGCGGACATCCTTGTCTTGTTCCTGACTTTAGAGTGAAAGCATTCGGTTTTTGACCATTTAGTATGATGTTAGCTGTTGGTTTGTCATAGATGGCTTTTATCAGATTGAGAGAGACCATCTATTCTAATTTTATGTTGGGTTTTTAATCATAAATGGGTTTCGGACTTTGTCAAATGCTTTTTCTGCATCTATTGAGATGATCATACTTTTTTTGTCTTTGGCTCTGTTGCTATGGTGTATTACATTTATTGATTTCTATATATTGAGCCATCCCTGAATTTCTGAGTTGAATCCTACTTGGTCATAGTTTAGAATCTTCTACATAATTTTCTACATTCTGTTTGCCAGTATATAATTTAGGATTTTTGCCTCTCTGTTCATTGGGGAGATTGACCTGTATTTCTCTTTTTTTGGTTGGGTCATTTTCTCATTTTGGTGTCAGAGTAATACTTATTTCTAGGAATGATTTTGGGAGTATTGCTTCTCTTTCAATTTCGTTAATGAGTTTGAGGAGTAGTGGCATTAGTTCTTGTCTAAATTTCTTGTAGAAATCAGCAGTGAATCCATCAGGACCTGGATTTTCTTTGTTGGTAAGTTTTTAATGACATTTTCAATTTCATTGACTGATATTTGATTATTTAGAATTTTTCTATCTCCTTAATTCAGCTTTGGTAATTCATATGTATCTAGTAATCTGTGAATTTCTTCTGTGTTTTCCCTCTTATTAGGGTACAGGTTCTTGAAGTAGTTATTGATGATCTTCTGGATTTATCCAGGATCTGTTGTGACTTCATGCTTTTCATTCCTAATTGCATAAATCTGAGTCTTTTCTTTCCCTTTTTTGATAAGGTTGGCTAAGGGTTTATCAATTTTATTTAATCTTTCAAAGAATCAACTCTTCAATTCATTGATTCTTTGTATTGTTTTCTTAGTGTTCATTGCATTAATTTCTGCTCTGATCTTTATAAGTTTCCTCCTTTGTATGAGCTTTGGGATTGGCTTGTTCTTTTCCTAGACACTTGAGATTCAACATTAGGTTGTCTATTTGAGTTTGCTCTGTTTTCATTATGTGAGAATTCACCACTATAAATTTCCCTCTTAGGACTGTGTCCCATAAGTTCTGGTATGTTGTATTGGGATTATCATTTAATTGTAAATACTGTTTAATTTCATCTGTGACCCATTGTTTGTTTAGAAGGGTGTTATTTAATTTCCATGTGCTCATGGAGCTTTTGTGGTTTCTTTTGCCATTGATTTCCATTTTCATTGCACTATGGTCAGATAATATGCATGGGATAATTTCAATTACTTTGCATTTACTTAAGCAAGTTCTATGGGCTGGTATGTGGTCAATTTTGGAAGACATCCATGTGAAGCTCAGAAAAAAATGTATATTCTGATGTGGGGTACAACACTCTGTAGACATCTACTAAGTCCATTTGTTCACAGGGTTGTTTCAGTTCTGACATTTCTTTTTTGATTTTTTGTCTAATTTTACTGTCTATTTGTGACAGTAGGGTATTAAGGTTTCCCATTACAATTGTATTAGTGCTTACAAGATTTTTCATGCCTGTTAATATTTGTTTTAATATAGTTGGGTGCACCAGTATTTGGTACATATATATTTGTGATTGTTATCTCTTCATTTTCTTGGAGTTTTCCCTAACAAGTACATAGTGGCCTTCTTTTTCTCTTTTGATGTTTGGCTTGAAGTTCACATTATCTGGAGATAGCCTAACTACCTCTGCTCCTTTTTTGGGTGGGGGGTATGTTCTTACATGGAGTATTGTTTTCTATCCTTGGACTTTCAGTCCATGAATTTCTTTTTGCATTAAATGTGTTTCTTGTATGCAGAGTATTGTTGGATCTCATTTTTTGATCTATTCTGCCAGTCTGTTTCTTTTGATTTGTCATTGAGATCATTTACATTGATGGTTATAACTGATATTTTTGGCTTATTCTTGTCAGATTATTGTCCTGCTGTTGGTTCCCTGTCTTTCCCCTCTGTTTAATTGGTTTTCTTGGCTGGTGGCTTCTTTCTATTGATGGTCTTTGAAATGTGGTCTTCATTGTTTCTTTCTAAAATATCCTTCAGAAAATTTTGTAGAGCTGGTTTGGTGCACATGAATTTCTTCAGTTGTTCTTTGTCACGGAAATAAGATATTTCTCCATTGATTTTGAAAGATAGTTTTGCAGGTTACATCAATCTCGGTTGGAGGTTGTTTTCTTTCAGAACCTGAAATATTTCACTATGAACTCTCCTTGATTTAAAGGTTTGCACTGAAAACTCTGAGATTCTGATGGGCTTTTCTTTATAGATAATTTTTTTCTTTTCTCTAAAAGCTTTTAATACCCCTGTTCTTGTGCTGAGTTTCTGGGATCTTGATAATTATATGCCTTGGTGTAGATTTATTTTGGTCATGGCTAATTAGAATTCTATATACCTTACTTATTCATTTGTCAACTCTTTTTCCTTGCTTGAGAAGTTTTCTGCCATTACTTCTGTGAACAAGCTTTTTTAAAAATGACATTTGGTCTATTTCCAGCTTTCTCATAGATTCTGATCAATCTTATGTTGTTCTTCTTTGCATCATCTTGCAGCTGTTGGCATGATTTTTCATGGTCTCTTGCTATTTTAAAAATATCTTTCTTTTCACAAGCACTTCTTTTTAAACCTCTTTCTCTTCAAAATGTTACTCTGTTTATTATTACTTCTCTCAAGCTTAAGAATAAACTGGTAGTATAAGATTGTTGAAAATTCTATTTTGCATAGTTTTGGTGTCATTTTCCATTTACTTAAAGAAAAAAACTGCACTGTTTTTATTAAGCAGTATACATTTCTCCCTCAGTCTTTGTGAGAGATTGGTTACAGAACACCCATACTACCCATGCATGCCCCAGTGAATACCAAAATCCAAAGATGTTGAAATCCCTCATATAAAATAGCATAATATTTGCATAGAACTATGCAATACTCCTGTATATTTAAAATCATCTCTACTCTTTTTTTTTGTACTAGGGATCAAACTCAGGACCTTGCACTTGTAAGGCAGGCAGAGGCACCATTGAGCTAAATCCCTGGTAGAGACCTTTTTATAATATCGAATGAAATGTAAATGCTATGTAGATAGTTGTTATACTGTGTTGTTTAGGGATAAACAACAAGGAAAAATGTCTGTACACATTCAGTATGAATACATTTTTTTCCACCTCTTTCCTTTTCATGGGTTATTGAATTCAAAAATTCAGAAGCGTAGGTATGAGGGACTAACTCTACTCATAAGAATACAACTACATACACACATCCAATCGGAAAATGAGTGATAAAATGAATACCTGACATCCTTTCACCTTCAAGAGGTCAAGAGATAGAACCTTATCTGTTCAAAAAGCTCAAGATGAACCATTACCTTATGTGCAGCATATACTATCCTGAAATGTGTGTTTATCATTGCTTTACTTGATTTTATCGTTTTCACTATCTACAAATGTAACACTAAATAATAATGTCCAATTTTGCATGTTTTTGAAGTATATATGTGAAATCCTACTGATGACTTGTTTTTTTCTCTGTCATGTTGTCAAATTTCATCCCACATTGATACTTTAAGCTGTACTTCATTCATCATTACTTATAGTATGTGTTTGAATATGTTATAATCCATTTGTCCATTTTATTGATGGAACTTTGGACTGTTTCTAGTTTTGAGCTATCATATATCAGTGGAGCTCTGGACATCTTTCAAAGAAACATCAATCATGTAAGACAAAAGTTCTCTGGAATATACACGAAGAGAGGAATTGTTAGTTTATAGTGTGTGCACATTTGCAGCTTCATATGGTGAAAGCTTAGGAACATGATTCTAAGAGAGAAAAGTTAGATAAAAAAGATCACATATTGTCCATGATTCTATTTGTAGGAAATGTCCAGAAAAGGACAACTATAGAGACAGAGTAGAGCAGTGGAGTTTTAGAGACCAAGCAAGAGAAATAACTGAGAAGTGATTGCTAATGGGTGTGAGTCCTCTTTTTAGAATGATGACAATGTTTTGGAATTAGGTAAAACCAGAATTTAAGTGGTGACAATGGTAAGTGAGTTATATCTCAAATTCAAAAATGATTATATGTAGACAAATAAAAAAAGAGAAGGCTGCTCTTTAAACAAAAATTGGCAAATCCTTTTGCAGTATGACCACTTCCATATTTCCCAACACTGCCTGATTTTTCTGCTTTGTAGATTTGACTTTGCCCATATTAAGTTGTTTGAAATCAATGCCCATATATGAAGGAGCCTTGTTTTAGTCTTAGACCTCTAAATTTTCAGCAAGACTGAGAATCTAGTAGTTGAGGAGGGAGAAATCTTCTCCTCCTCTTGGTGAGTCCAACATTGTTTAGCAGAAAGAAGTGACAGCATTAATAGAGGATAGAGATGGAAAAGAGATCTCACCTTCCCACAGTAGAAAATATCCTTCCTGTTCACCTTTCCTTCTGTTATCTTGTCTCTGATGGCCTGCCCTACTTCATGCTCATTTTTGTAAAGGTAGGCCCCATCAATATGTCTATACCCCACGTCAATGGCCATTTTCACTGCTGTCAAACAGGTCTCCTGAGATGTCTGAAATGACAAGGAGGTTGGGGTTGAGATGAAAAGAAATGAGTCTTTAGTTTAATCATTATTAATCAGGATTCTTTCAATACATTGCTTCATAGCTAAAATGACAATTCCTAATCCTGTACTGTTGTGATTGTAAGACTATTTTGAAGATAGATTAAATGAGTCTCCAAGGACACTCCATCTATCTGGAGTTTGCTCTCAGCTTTGTAGTTTCAGAAATGTGATTTGATCAACATTTCCAGGGAGAGAAGACTTCATGGAAGCCTTTGAGGAGGGCACAATTTAATTGAAGAAGGCTAAATTATAAATAAAAGATTTGGGTAAAAAACCTGAGATATAACCCTAGAATGAAATATTACTCAGTAAGTAAAAGGAGTAAACTACTGATACATATAACATAGAAGAATTTCAAAATAATTGTGCTGGGTAAAAGAAGATGGATAGAAAAAAATAAATACATTATGATTCTATTTTTATAAAATGCTAAAAAATGAAAATTAATCTATATATAGTGACAATGCAGATGAGAGATTTCCAGGCTAAGGTTAATGCGTGGGAAAATTGCAAAATGACATGAGGAAGTTTTAGGGTTGATGGAAATGTTCATTATCTTGATTGTAGCAATAGTTTGAGAAGAATATATCTCTCAAACATCAAATAGTATATTTTAAATATGTGCAGCTTATAGTATGTCAATTATACCTCAGAAAATCTAGGGAGGGGCACACAGATCCCAGCAAGAAGCTTGTGGGGACGAGAGCAGCACTGTTACAGGTGGGTCCTAACCAGGGTCCCATCCCAACTCCAGCAGCTTGGACACACAGGTCCAGCCAAAGGTCCACCTGGAGAAGAGCTACTCTGGTGCACAAGTAACAGCCAGAGACCCAGCCATATTCCATCCATAAGGGTGCAAAGATCCCACCAAGAAGCCTGTGTGGACCACGGTGCCATGGTTGCAGACAGGTCCCAGCCAGGGCCCCAGCATGACCCCAGCAGCTTGGACCTACAGGCCCCAGCCAAAGACCTGCCTGGAAAAGAGCTTCACAGGCACACAAGCAACAGCCAGAGTCCTGTCCAGATACCATTGGTAAATGCATGCAGAGCCCAGCCAGAAGCCCACTCAGAAACCAGTGACTGGGGTGCAAAGCCCCCAGCCAAAGACCCTGGCAGACAACAGCTATATACAGGGGGGAGGCCCCAGCTGGAGACAAACCCAGATACCATCCCAAGTGCGCACAGGCCCTAGCAAGAACCACTCCTGGACAACAGGGGAGTTGAGGGACCCAGAAGGGCACCACTCTGAACCCAGGAATAGGTGGAGATGTGAGTAGCAAAAAGGCCTCTTGGTGGCTTGCTGAGAATTGAAGACCACTGGGTGAGGAAAAAGTTGCCTCAAAAGGCACAGGATGCAACTATTAAAATGAAAAGACATATAAACAAGTCACAAAATCAGACTTTCAGATCACCTAAGGCAACCCCAAAGGGCAACCACATCGATCAATCTGATACTCAACCACCTGGACTCCCTGAACTGGCAACGAAAGACCTTCTGGAAAAAATGAAATCAGAAATAATTTGTCAGATAACAACACAGATTGTGTCCATAATGCAAGATGCGGTTAATAAATCTAGAGTGGGCACAGATAAAAAAATAGAGGAGCTGAGGAACATGATGGAATCCCAACATAGAAAACAAATGGAATCCATAAAAGAGATGTAAACAGATATCCAGGGAATTAAAAACTCCACTGAAAGTTTACACAGCAGAATGAACCAAAGTGAGGGCAGGAATTCGGATATAGAATATAACATTTCAATTAGTGACCAGGAAAAGAAGAACTGCTTCAAAATTGTAAGGGGCCATGAGAAATCAATCCAGAAGCAGCTAGATGATGCAAAGAATAACATAAGAACTGATCTGAGTCAATGAAGAAACAAGAGAGAGTGAAAATGACATAAAATAACTGTTTACAGAGTAATGGCAGAAAACTTCCAAAACAAGGAAAAAGAACTTGACATACAGATAAGTTAGTGTGTCATATAGGACTCCACCTCTCCATAATAAAAAAAATCTACACCTAGGCACTTAATAGAAGCCCAGAAACCCAACAGAAGAAACAAATCACATAAAAAGGAAAGCTCATCAGAATCACAGCAGACTTCTCAACACAAACCCTCAAGACAAGAAGAGCCCAGACTTAAGTATTCCAATCCCTAAAGGAAAACAACTTCCAACCCAGATTGATGTACCCTAGAAAACTATTTCAAAATTAGTGGAGAAATAGGATACTTTAATGACAAAGAGAACCTGAGAAACTTCACGAATACCAAATCAGCACTCCAAAACATTTTAGACAATATTCTAGGAAAAGACAATGAGGATCACAATCCCAGGAAGCCCAGCAGAAAGAATCCATCAGGCATGACAAAAAATTAAATGGAAAGGGGGAGAATCCAACAAAAAGAAAAAGTCATGACAAGAATAAATCAATATGTATTACTTATAACCATCAATGTTAATGGTCTCAATTCACCAATCAAAAGAAATTGAACTGGCAGAATGGGTCAAGAAGCAAGATCCAACAATATGCTGCATACAAGAAATACACTTAATTCAAAAAGAAAGTCATAGGCTGAAAATTAAAAGGTGAAAACCATACTCCATGCAACGGGAACCTGAAAAAAAAGCAGGAGTAGCTATCTTCTTTCCAGAACAAGTGGATTTCAAACCAAAAGTAAATAAGAGAGACAAAGAAGGACACTACATCCTTGTAAAAAGAAAAATCCAAGAAGAAGAGGTGACAATAATAAATATATATGCACCAAATACTAATGCATCCAACTATATAAAACAAATAATAACAGACATGAAAAATCAAATAAGCACTAATACAGTAGTAGTGGGGGACTTCAATACCCCACTGTCACAAATAGATAGATAACTAGACAGAAAATAAACAATGAAATACTACAACTTAATAAAACGTTTGAACAAATGAACTTAACAGATGTTTACAGAGTGTTCCACCCCACAAAATCAGAATACACATTCTTTTCAGCTGCACACGGGTTGTTCTCAAAAATAGACCACATACTGATCCCAATAGTTGTGGTTCTCTTTTTATAAAATGGATACTACTCAGCCCTAAGGAATGAGAAATTAGAGACATTCATAGCTAAATGGATGCACATTGAGGTGATACTCTTAAGTGAAATAAATAGGACACACGTATGTAAATACCAAATCATTTCTCTGGTATAAGAAACCAAAAGTGTAAATAAGAATCAAGTGTATAATAGATAATGTGAAATAGGAAGAAAAGGGGCAAAAAGGAAGGGGAAGTAAGAGGGGTAGGGGAAAGGAAAGAAGGGAATGGAATTAATATGAGAAAATGAAAAAAATGGCAGCAAAGTCTTTGTAAATAGAGATGGTGGGTTGGTTAAAGGGAGGGCAGGGAATGGAGAAAAAATAAAGATCAAGATATATTATGTAAAGGTACAAATCTCCAATGACGGATGTCATTATATTGTCTACCTAAAATGTACCAATAAAATTAATTTAAAAAATGAAAATCTGCAGAGGAAAGATTATTGGGAGTTATGTTATATTTTTTGTAAAATTTGGTCATCAAATCTTTGTTCATTTTATCAATTTGAGTTAAGCAGAAGAATGAGGATATCCTGACTCCTGAACATAGACAGGACAAAAATAAATAACCTGGAAGATTATCAACACTTGAGGTATACATGATTCATTTGCTATGGTCTGAATGTGTTCCGTCAAAAGCTCCTATTGAAACTTAATACGCAATGCAATAGTGCTGGGAGATAGGGCCTAATGGGAGATGCCCATTTCACTTAACGCTGCTAAAGAAAGGGTTTGCAGGAATGGATTTATCTCATCACATCCCTTTTGCATGTGAGAAATCTCCTCTGAGAATGTAGCATTCAAGGTACCATCTTGGAAGCAAACTGTCCTAATTTGTTGCACCTTGATCTTGGACTTTCTAATTTCCAGAAACTTGAGAAAATAAATTTCTGTTCTTGATAAATTACTCAGTTACAGTACAATTGTCCCTTGCTATACAAGAAGAGTTTGTTTCCACATGACAGCAAAATCTATGCATGCTCAAGTCTCATATATAAAATGGCATAGTATTTGCATATTCTCTGCACAAATTCTTCCATGTACTTTAAATCATCTCTAGATACAATGTAAATGTTGTTGAATAGTTTTTATGCTGCATTGTTTGGAAAATAATTATAAGAAAAAAGTCTATATATGTTCAGGACAGATGCACCTCCCTGATATTTTCTATCCACAGTTGGTTGAATCTTCAATGAAAAAACTCATGGATATAAAGGGCCTGTCATGCTACTGAGCTCTGTAGAAACAGCATCTGTCCATGGGATATTGTGTGACCCTGTAGTCAGAGCTATCTGTCATGATCTGGGCTGTGATCTGGCCACTAAGACACAAGTTCAAGTGGGTCAGTGGAAGTATATTGTGAGATATAATTGGTACACTTGTGATTGGATACAAGCTAGACTAGACAGTATGTCACTCAGAAGTCACTCAATACAGTTGCATCAACATCACCTTGTCAGCTGACACCTTGGGCCACATGGAATGGGGGAGGGCTGAATCTTGGCCATAAATAGGTCTTCTTGGTATGTGATCACAAGGCAAAAATTTATTTCTGCAGCTTTCCTTTAGTGCTTAATTTTGGGGTGGACAAAGAATAAGGAAGTGTTTGCACTAAGACATGTGTAAGACTGCTCATGGCAATAATGTCTGTAAATTCCAACAAAGTAAAGAAAAAAAATGCCCACCAACAATAAAATGGACACAGATATGTTCATATAATTGAATATGGCCCAAGACATGATTAATAACATAGGTGAACCTTGGAACATAGTAGTGTAGCTGGACTGACCAGCCAGTGAAACCATAAAAGCTCTGTGTGCACAGTAAGGAGTGTAGGATTTACCTTCTTATGGAGAGGGAGCCATTGAACTGTCTAAGCAGAGGCCTAACATGATCAGATTTGGGTTTTTGAAAGATCCTGATGGTCTTAGTCTGTACAATTAACCAGAGGTGGACAAAACTGGAAGAACAGCCTAAAGGTAAATAAGAGCCTAAATTAAGGTAATGACAAAAGACGTAGGAGAGGGTATGAATTGGGGAAGTCTTTGAAGATAAAATCAACAAAGACTCTGCAATCATTGGGATGTAGTGTGAAGAAGAGGGCAGACTGAAGTCATATATCCTAACTTTGGGGTTGAGTGGCTGCTGGTTGACGTGTCACTTGCTAGGAAAAGTGGTTATTTGGGGAATGGAAGAAGGTCAGTGTATTTCTGTCTTGTAGAGTTATAGGTGGTATGAAAGGTGGAGTATATATCTGTGTGTACATTGGAATCACCTGAGCAGCTTGTTAAATGCAGGTTCTATGGTTCAGACCTAGAGATCTATATTTAGTGGATTGGCATGAGGCCTAACAATACATATTTTCAAAAATGTCCCAGGTGTTCTGATATAGTCAGTTTATGGTTGTACAAGGAAGAGAGAACAAACAGAAAAGTAAATATAGATTTGCATATATGTGGTTGGAGCCATGACTATGAATGAAGTCAAACAGAGATAATAGGCAAAGAAAGAAGAGAAAATGGTCAATGATACAGGCTCAGGATTATTCCCAGAATGACTTTTCTTCCCATTACCAAAAACAAGGAATGCAGAATTGGGATGCAAGTGTTACATTCTTGGTCCCCATTTATTATTTTTACTTTGCCTCTCATTCTGTATGCTGCCACCAGAATTATCTTTCAGAAACAGATCTCTTTCCCTAAGATTTATATAGTTTCTCAGTTCTGTATAATGAAGTTCCATCTCTTTCCTTAGATATTTCAGGTCTACAGTAATCCAGTCTTAACTTGCATTTTCAGATCCAATTGCCATCACCTTCTCCATTAACTCCATATTGCAGTCACCCCACCTTTGGCCTTCTCTGTACATATCATATATCCTGTGTCTCTCAACTTTCTCTCCTTCCTGAAATGTCCTGCTTTGGCTCAGCTTCTCTGCTGGCCAATTCATACCTGGCTTTGTAGCGTTCATTCATGCATGATCACTCAGCTTTCAGTAGCATTTCTATACACATGTTGCCAGAGCCCACAATATTGATTATACCCAAAACATGCTGTAAGTAGTGCAGGCTACAAAGAGTTAAATCCCTCAATTGACTTACTTTAAGAAGCAAGTCTGACTGAAGCTACTCACAGAAGGTCACAGAAGTATCTCATGACTCACAGAAGTATCTCATGAGTACTGTAGTCATGTTCGTCAATATGACCTCCCTGCTAATGGTCATGGTTGAGACCTGATTAATGGCCTACGAAGCCATGGGGCTAATACACGATAACGTGTGTAGCTGAGGTCAGAGTAAATTGCACCCAAATTCTATTCCCACAATTTGTGCCTTCATAGCTTGAAGGACAATGCTCTAATCACAACCATATATTTTGTCTATCTTGTTTCTAATTTGAAAATGCTTTGACTGTTCTCTTTGAAGCCTTTCCTGCATTAGTTTCCATAGTAAGTTCACATACTGCAGATCTATACATGTATTGCACCTTTTATCCTGATTGATGAACAATAAAATTTGGGGGGTGAGATGGGCCAGTGCCTTTTGCCAAAGGAGTATTGGCTGTCCTAGTTCACTTTCTCTTTAACTCTGTCTTAAGTTTTTCTTCAACCTTGCATCACATACTTGGCAGATGGGGACCAGAGACTTACTGCAGGGGTCTCTGGCAATATGTTATGGTTTGGATATTTAAACATCCCTTAAAAGCCATGCTAAGGGGGCTGGAGAGCTCAGTGGCACTGTGCCTGACTCACAAACACAAAGTCCTGAGTTTGATCCCTCCTACAGCAAAAAAAAGAAAAAAAGAAAAAAAAAAAGCCATGCTAAGGCTTAATCACTAGCCTATGGAAATATGGGGAAGTAGCTGAATCCTTAGGAGTAGGATCTAGTTGGAAGAAGTTAGGTCATGGAGGGGGCCATGCTCTTGAAAGGAATACTGAGACCCTGACCCTTTTCTCTGTTTCTCTCAGTTTTCCAACCACAAGGAGGTGCACAGTTTTGCTCCACTGCATGGTCCCTGCTATGATGCTCTACCTTATTATGGGGCAAAAGTGATAGGGCCAAGTGACCATGAATTGAAATGCTTGGAAACAAGTAGTCAAAATGAATCTCCCCTCCTTTTGATCATGCCATGTATTTTGTACTTTGTTACAAGTATAGAAAGCTGAGTAACACATGATACCATAGTTTATTCGGATGATCAGCTTTGAATGCTGAAATGCAATGCAGAAAGAATTGTTATTTTAAGTAGATTTACTATGTCTTAAAGGAAACACATTTCAATCATCATGATCAGATCTTGTTCTCTGTGTGTGTGTGGCAGGGGGGAATTGTTCAAAGAGATACTGGTTACAGTTCTAGGATTAGAGACTTAATCTTTATTATTATTATTATTATTTTGGTACTGGGAATCAAACTCAGGACCTTCAGCTTGCCAAGCAGGTGCAGTTTCACTCAGCTAAATCCCCGGCCCTAATCTTTATTGTTGTATAGATGTTAAAGAGTCTGGATGGTTTATAGAGTTTTTAATGGTTAATTAGAAAAGACATGTCCTCTTAATGTAGAAGCACTCTATAATTAGTACTTAGGGCATGACAGGTATTCACTGAATACTTGTTGTTAGACTGATCTAAAAATTATGAAGTATATAATTTTAGAGAACTACAGAAGCCATAAACTCACAAATTTCATGTACCCTCAGTTCATTCTGGGAATTAGATTTTAACTCAAGTTCAATAAAGGAAGCATACAATCACTTTCTTTATGCTAATTTTTAACCATGAACTCATTATAGTTTAACCTTTGGCTTGATATTTAATCAGGCAAATAATAGTCCTTGAGAGTTACTTTAAATATTACCAAAAAGTTGTCAATGAGATAAACACAAAATGAAAGTTTGCATGTTAGGAAAATATTTTAAAAACTACAGACACATGCACACATGCAGAGGAAAGAGAACGAGAGCTTACTGTTTGAGGATCTAAGTAGGTACCCAGTCCAATGATAGGAATACTGTTTCCATCATTTAGGGGTACTCGATGACTTGTAGCAGTGAGATTCATCTTGGAGAGACAATCAGAGGTTTCAACCTTCTAGGTAGTGCGTGCCTTGGAACAACACTACCAGGAGAGTCTGTGTAAAAAAGTTCCCAAGGGCCTATTTTATCTAAGCAAGAAAATCCAGGGGAGGAGCCAGGGGAGGGGATAGAGATGAAAAAAATCTATTTCTCAATCTTTTTTTTTTTAACCCAGGTTGCCCTGAAAATTCTAAGCATAGTTGTTTTTTGAACTTCACCAAAGGCAAGTAGATAATGTAACCCATTGGTAGTTTGTACTTACTTTTCTACAAAGAGAAGAATTTAAAAAGAAAGGGAATACAATCTCTGTCATGTAGGATGCTTTTGTTGGCAAATAACAGACTTGCCTTAAATTTTTATAAATTATATATGAAGATTTTTGGTTCAATTTTCTTAAAACTGCACTGGAGAGATGAGGGGAGGGTAGGAGCTCCCTGATTCTTTTTTCTTTTACAAGGAAATTAGGCCTATAGTGAGAAATTAGTCCTCATGGCCTCATCTAAAACTACTTCCTTGAAGCACCATTTCAGAATACAGTAGTATCACTCATCAAAGGCTGTTATACTATCAGTTCTCACTGTGTTGGTCACTGTGGATAGTAACAAGTTTTACATACACTGTTTTTTTCCTGTGCATATGTATTTTATCTTTTTCATTTAAAATAAATAAGATAAAACAAGAATTTTATCTTTTTTATTTAAAGAAAGCCCTTTATAGCTTTTCTTTGCATTTTTGAATTCTAGCATCACTACTCTTGTGCTTTGGGGCTATAATTAAGTAAAATAAGGTGTTTACTAGAGTCATTGAGCAGATTAGGCAAGCACTTCATCACTGAGTTAATTCCTAGTTCCAGGATACGGGATTCTTATTGCATAATATTTCCTTTTAGTATTCTGAGTATGTTAACCTCTTGTCTTCAGGCATCTATGGATACTGAAAAAAAAATTTTAAAGAAAATCTTTTTTTTATGTAATGTCACTTCTTTCTTGCTGCATTTTAGATTCTCTTTGTCTCTTGGTTTTACCAATTTAACTGTATTGTGTCTGTGGATCTCCCTGGATTTATCCTTCTTGCACTTCTTGGATAGGTAGTCATAATTTTCATTTAATTTAGAAAATACTTGCTCAGTATTTTTTCCATTTTTCCCCCTTTCTCTCCCTTCTGGAATTATGTGAGTTTGTATGCTTGATGGTATCGCATAGGTTTATTAGGCTTAATCATTTTTTGTCATTCCTAAAATATCCACTTGGTTATTTTTAATATGTTTTATTGCTTTGGAGAAACTTTCTCCTTTTACACTTGCTTCAGTAATGCTATTGACTATTTGTGCTTTTGTTATAGCTGCATTAAAGTCATCAAGTAAGAAGAACATACATGACATATTGGGAGTGTTGTCTACTGTTTGTTTTGCCAACACGGATTTAGGTTTTCCTAATGTTAATTTAGATTATTCTGAGGACTTCCCGAATACAATGTAAGATTTTGGTCTTCTTAAAATACTATATAATGTCGACTTTTGTTTTATTTTAATTTTTAAATTAATTTTATTGGTACATTTTAGGTAGACAGTGTAATGACATTCATCATTGGAAATTTGCACCTTTACATAAGCTCTCTTGGTTCTTATTTTTTTCCCCATTCCCCTGCCCTCCCTTCAAGCCCTCCATGCTTCCCTATTTACAAAGACTTTTTTTTCCATTTTCTCATATTAATTCCATTCCCTTCTTTCTTTTCCCCTACCCCTTCAACTTCCCCCTCCCATTTGCCCCTTTTCTTCCTATTTCACATTACTTATTATACCTTTTAGTGCTTATTCACACTTTCAGTTTCTTACACTAGAGAAACTATGTGGTATTTACACATGTGTGCCCTATTTATTTCATGTAAGAGTATCGCCTCAATATGCATTCATTTAGCTATAAATGTCTCTAATTTCTCATTATTTATGGCTGAGTAGTACTTCATTTAAAAAAAACCCCACATTTTCTTTATTCAGTCTCCAGTTGATGGGCATTTGGGCTGTTTCCAAGTTTTCGCTATTACAAACTGTGCTGCTATGAACATGGGTGCACATATATCACTGTGGTATGATT